TCCACGGTGCAGTCAGGTATTGTATCGGAAGTCCTCGTGGGAAGGGCTCAGGAAGCGCTAGTGTAGCAGGGTGGTCTAGTGGCCGTAGCTTGGACCAAAGCTCGTCTCTCGCTCGTGCGAGGGTGTCCAAAAATACGTAGGTCGAGACATCGGAGCTTTCAAGCTCAATCTCGAAGAATTTGTTCCAAGCAATGATGCCGTGGGGATGATTCGCCTCCAGTCTCGCGTATTCTTCTCTTTGCGCCTTTTCTTCGACCGCAATGAGCATTGGAATCGTGACCTGCCAAATGCAGGCATGTATACCGTGGTCAGGGGCCCTGAGTTGCTTCTTGACCTGTGGCGTGAGGTCCATCCGTAGTTTGATAACGTCGTAAAATAGCCCGAAGACGCCATCCCAATCATACAAATTGAAAGAGGGTTCTTTAAGGGCTTCGCATGCTGTGTCGAACATTCCTTGCAAGATCTTGTTCGCCATTGCGACTCGGTGTTGTAGCACAGTCAGGCTTGGCAACCCGTTGACCGACTCAGGAATACCTGATAGTAGACGTGTAGCTTCATCGGGAAATGATTTGGGATAGATCTCCCGCATCACGAGCGGATCTCGCAAGAAACGTTTGGTCCATTCCAGCGTATCTTTCAGCATGTCGAGAGATCCACTGGCAATAGCAGCAAACAGTGCTGACTTGGCAAAGAATGCACGTTTTTCCGGTTGAGATGCAGCAGCGGCCTTCTTCTTGCGCGCATCGATGTAGCCACAGGCCAGTGTCTTGGCGTCTTCTTCCTTGTTGTTCAAGCTTAGTAACCAGATGTGGAATATATCTGGGTCACCACTTTGACCTTGAAGTTCATAAGTTGGTGTTTGGCTGAAGATAGAGCAATTTCGATCAAGGTCGATCAAATCAACATCTCCTCTTGCTTCCCGCAAACGAGTGAACAGTAGCAAAGCGTCGGCAGGGGACAGGTTTGCGAAAAAGCTGTGGTGAATCGGGCCCTTGGTCTTCTTCAGATCCGCATCGCTATCAAGGTCAAGCGAGGTTGACTCGTGGTAGCAAAGTCTCAGGAGTGGATAGCATCGCTTTGCTGGAACTCCTGCGAAAACATTATACCAGTGTCCGATGTTGGTCTTGCTGGCGGTACCGAACACCGGATGAGAACAGAGCCTCCGCAGTTGCTGTTCGAACAAACTTGGCTGTTGTGACCAGCAATAGGCGACCTGCTGGAGAAAGTCACCCTTGATGCCAGTGATGTGACATCCTGTGCTGGGATGGGCCTCCAAGTACCGCATCGTGAGATCGACGATCTGTTGTATCATGTCCCAATTTGCGCGGTTCTTAATGGCACGTTTCATAAGAGGGTTGACGAGTTGATCGATGAATGTCTCGTCCTCCACTACCGAATGCGCTGAATTACTCAGGGTTTCCAGGAGTCTCAAGGAGAACTCCATAGACTTGGAGAAGCCCTTTGTGGTCGATTTACCTGGCGGGTGGTGATGCAGTAGCTCTGTAGATACCGTGATGTTGTCGTTGGGTGGTTGTTCCGCGCTCGCCGCTTGGAGGAGCTCTTCTTGCATACACTCCGGATAGTACTTGACGAGATCCTTAGTTCGTGCATCTTTCCAAGTTCCTTTCGACCCGCTTGCGATGGCCTCTTCCACCAGCTCCTTCGAACACGCAGGGATGATGAGTCGGTAGAACCTTCCGAGTGCGCGTTGGTCTTTCGTCTTATGCGGCGCATCAGGAAAGCGATCAGGGTGCAGCGCTTTGAAGAGTTCGGTGAAGAGCTGTCGTTTCGCATCCACCTCAGCCCCTCTACCAGAACGACCAATTGCGGTACAGGCAGCTTTGACTTCAATCACCGAGAGGTCTGCAAAGATGTCAAGCAACCCAGCAATTCCCCCAAGACCATCCCATGTCTCTCTCCATCGCGGAGAACAAAGTCCCTTGCGCAGAAACTTGATGCCGAACTTGCGGACAAGTACGGAGTTATCTTGAATGAGCGCCTCGCGTGTAGCGAGAGGCGACTGTGCTACACCGAGCCATGGTGCGAAGGCGAGCGGCGATACCGAGCCTCTCTCAACAGCTAGGAGAAGCTGTGTCGTGATCTCCTGAATTGGCGCATCGTTCAGTATATGGCGGTAGTAGTCTCGAAGCTCAGCGAGTTTGGAAGACCGAATGCGACGCGTGTCGAGATCCCTGGTCATGTTGTGCGGAGCCGAGGTAGATTCCGCGTTGCACCTCAGCTTTCAGTCGCGACAGTAACGGCATTGATATAGCCTCCAGAACTTCAGGCATGATGCACGTGAATAGTAGCACAGGCAGACATGGCCACATAGGGGAAAGTCGATGATCAGGCGGGCCGCGGAGTGGGGCTCGTCGTGTGTTAGAAGGGCTGAAAGGCCAGCGACGCGTCTATGACGTCAGCCTACCTAGGTATCCTCTTGAGGTGGTGACAACTCCCACTGCGCTGCGCCCTCCGATATCACCGATGTGATCACCGCCCTGCTCGGTCCTCAGCCCTACAGCCCTTATACTCGAGATGCACACCGTTATAAGGCTGCGCATTCGCAGCCCTCTGGTGCAACAATGGGTTCGTTGACGCTCATCTCAAGTGAATGTACGCCTAGGTACGCGATGATAAGCGGAATTAGGAGTTTCGCATTTGGAAGCATCTGGTGCTATCTATACGACTCTAAGGTCTCAATCAATCAGTTGAGAAGGAACCCTGGAGCTGCAAACCTCTTTCGCGTTGGCCAGTAGAGCATGTGATGCCTTCAGGCTTTGACAGCTCCCACACCATCATTGTCTCTTTGGACGAGTTCGAAAGTTTCATAGCCGTTATTCTCCCAGAATGGTCTCTCTGCCTTCCGACCACCACCAGTTATGGATGCAGTAAGTCCGCACGGATCTATAAAGGTCATAAACCACGGCATATCGTCCTTCCAACCTGGACCTTCCAGCTCGGTCTGCCCATCCTGAGCCAGGTAGATGTGATAATCCTCCGGTAGGTAGCGACGCGGATGGCGATAGTTCCACAGCACCATATTTACGAGCATGAAGCTTGCGTCGAAAACCCAGAAGAACCATTCGTATCGAACGATTGGCGAGAGACTCATGGGATCCCAGTCTTTTGACGGATTTGTTGGTACGCGGCTGATGCCGAAATGCTCGACGCAGCGGTAGATTGTGCGAATGAGGATGAGGCCCTGACTGATGTACAGTGTGATGAGAGGACCCTGTACTTTCCCTGATTTGATGCCTCCTTTGATGCATCGCCTGTGGAAGACGCCAGCGATTATGCAAAAGAGGAGGATGACACCGATTTGTAAGATCAGCGATGTCTTCATGAGGATATGTCCGGTGTCGGCATAGACCTCAAGTATGTTTGGGTTCGCTAGCCAGGAGACGCCGATCGCGTTCAAAACTTCAACGATGCTGGATATTGCGCCAAACGTCGTAAGGGTACGGCCGGGATGCAGAGGCGAGTGGTATGGTACGTAGTAGAGTATTCGACCAAGCACATGGTAGTTGGCCAACTCAAGGATGGGGCTGGTGATTTGTTAGCCACCTCAAAAGAGAAGGGCGAGCTACTTACGGTGCACATAATATGAGGATAGAGCTCGCGACGTATGCTCCGATGTTTTCGTAATTAAAGGCCCCATAGGAACGTACGACAAAGCCAGCTGTGAACAGTAGACCGCAGAAGGGGTGGAGACCGGTGACTTTCCAGGCCTTGTACTTGAAGCATTGCCAAACATGCGCAAGGGTAGCGATTGCGAACCACACGGCGAACACAGGAGGGGCCCATTTAATAGGCTGATATAGGTAGACACTTCCGGGAACGATCTCGCCGTCTGAGGGAGCCATGGTAGATTTTATTTAACGGGGTAAATGAAGAGCATGAGAAGTGACATGCGCATCCAAGTATTTAAACTGGAGCGACTGCAATTTGATCTTCGAATGATCGTTGCTGACTCCAAGGGCAAGAGAAGAGCAATCGGCATGTCCAATAGGATTACTACAGGCTTGTCCTGACACAGCACTATTGATGGCCAAGCCTTCGATACAATTGCACAGTTAAGTACTCCTCCCGTATACCACTTGCATGCTCTCGATCCAATCAGCTTGGCTCAAGAAACGCAACTTTGGAAGGCAGAACGATTCCATCGCTGTCGCGTCTCAAGCTCGGAGCACGGCAAAGTAGCATACCTCACAACATTTGGATGTTGGCAGGTAGCAGCACATGCAAGAACACAGCGAAGAATGTGCCGGATAGCAGAACGAGATCTTGATGACCATATTTACTAAAGCTTTATCGTGGTGGCCGTTTGTGAGGCGCACCTGCCAATCGAGCTTCACACTAGCTTTCGGCTGTCAAATGACGCAACTGCCGCTCGGGCAGGAACGCGTCGCCCGCGCGCGCCTTCTTCATGAACAGCCACATCACGCTAGGCAGGCTGCTAAATGCGCATGTATACATGCTTCGAAACTTTCTTCAGTCGCTCACAACCTGCACTTTTCGGTTGCGATTTTCAGCACAAGACATGTCGATTCGGCACCTCCGAATACGAAGACACTCGGGTCTCAGGCCCCCAGCGGAAAAGCACATAAGCTTCCTCGCTGGACTAGACCCAATACAGCAGTAAAGCTGGCCAAGACGGACTTGATAACCAGCTGAACTCATCACCACCAGCCACCTATGATAGTCAGACAAGCCCTCTATGGTAATAAAGCTGCAGAAATGCACGCCTTTATGAGGCCACCAAAGCCGCTGCCATTGCCGCCTTCTTTGCGGGTACCTTCAGGTTAATCTCTATCTACCCGCATTCACAAGCGATCATGGCCGAAACGGGAGAAAAGAGAACAACACGCCAATGCTGGGAGTGTCTTAAACGACGACTAGTATGCGACAAGACGCTGCCGCGCTGCAACAAGTGTCAGAAACGCGGTCGGCAATGCTCGGGCTACGACGACGCGAAGCCGCTCCAGTGGGTTCAGCCAGGGATGGTGACGTCCAAACGAAGAGGAAAGAAAGACGGTAGTCCGCGGAAAAGATCCAGCAACAACACTGCGGCTAAGAGTGAAGTCGACTATGCCTGCGAACCCATAGACTACGAAGCCACCTTGACCGAATGGGTAAAGGACCGGATCGTCAATCCCCAGTATCGGGTGACTGAGCTCCACGTGCTATCCTTCAAGATGATAGCCGTGGCCAAAGAGGCCGCCAGGGTATTCGAGATCGGCGGAAGGGCCAGGATCGAAGAGATCGTGGAGAAAGGCTTGCACGAGGAGGCCGAAAGCTTATTGCGCTCGGGTCGTGATCCACTCCAGCGACTGAAGCGCCTACTCGCGTTCCTGAGCATGCAAGATGTACCACTCTATGATGATCTCATGGACGAGACATCGGAAGTGGTGCAAGCTGTTCAGTACTGTGAGTGACTCCTTTCCTCAGTATGGAACATGGATCTAGCTTTAGAGCGACATGTTTGGCCGATGGCTAACGCTACCAGACAACGTACGGATACACCCACAATACAAGGCATCCCAAGAACTGGCACCCAACCCCGCCCTCGTACTCTTTCCCCCACAAGTCTTGCATTTGCTTACGCCGTCCATCCATCATGCGTTAGTCTGCCTGTCACTCAACCACTTCATCCACAGTCTACCACTAGGCGCAGGCCATACGGCGGTGATAGCGCGGACAAAAGTATACCAACATCGCGGGGCAGCTTTGCGAGCATTAAGTCGACATATTGCCCAGGACAAGACACGATGTTCGGACATGACCATCACTACGATTCTCATGTTCATGTGCTTAGAGGTATGCGAGCGCGTCTGGAATGTGAAACTTGGAGTCACGTACTGATTCGTACCTCTAGCTCCAAAATCCCACCTTTGCGGATGGACGTTCACATGTGATAGCCATGAAGCGGATACTTGACCTCAGAGGTGGACCCAAGCAGGTCATGAAGGAAGCCCCGTACCTGATCCCGTCGATGGTGCTCTACCTACTGTATGTCTATTTGACCTTTGGATTGAAAAACTACTCATATGATCAGTATCGTGTCTCTTTCCAACACGTGCAGTCCGTCATGGGACCAAGTCGACATCAGCAACACTGCGGAGGAAATGACAGAAGACATAACCGACATGTACAGTCTCATCTTCCCGTACACGCTCTGTCCGCGAGAGCTCTTCACTGAGATATTGCGGACGAACCAGCTACGCGCAAAAGCATCTGCAGCAATACAGCTGTGTGGTTTCAACCCGGAGCATGCACTCGAAGCTTATGACGTCCTCGGCCGCATCGAGGCCTTCTCAGTCGAGGACTGGGCGCGAGCTGGCACATTTTGCACCGAATGGCTGACTGTTGGTCTGGTGTATAAATCCGCCGTCGCGCTCTACGCCACCTTGTCCCTTTGCTCACTCATGGTCCTCCCGACGACAGCTTCACTGCTCGAGAGTCAAACAGCTTACGGCGATGTCCTGCTCAGCAACCTCGGCACTGCACTCAAGGCCCCGCGTATGGCTAAGTTTATGGTCTGGCCGCTCATCGTCGCGGGTGTAGAAGCTATGCATCGCGGGGAAGGGACGCGCAACTGGATCGAAGCGGGCTTGGAGGATCTGAGTAGGACGCTGGGGACGAGTTGCCCACTCAAAGTATGTTCGGTGCTGAAGAGATACTGGAAGGGCGGGGTTGCCGGGTGGGACGAGTGCTTCGATCAATCGTATGTGTTTGCAATCTAGAGAGCGAGCTAGTCAAGGAGGGGTTGCAGTTGTTCGTGTCATCATACCCAGAGGTTCGTGATATATCGCTAGTATGCGTAATGTACAGGCTTGCTATACAGAGGGGAGATGGGGTCCCCGTTCGTGATACCCAAACGCCAATCTATGCTGTCGTGTGCCGCGGACCCTCGCTACCGGTCCAGGCCCTTGTTCTCTGGATCCTCATCGCCCTTGGTCTCCTTGACGTCTTTGTACGGCCGCCCCGCGTAGAGCATGTATCCCTTCTCCTCCATGGTGCCCGCCTTCTCGTCCGCCTCGGAACGGCCCTGGCCAAATGCGCCTGTCTCGAGTTGGCCGGGGACGGCAATGGGCCGGTTGCCGCGGAAGCGCTTGCGCATGTCAATCATGCCCTTTTTGCATTCGGCGTAGCCCTTTTGCAGCTGCTGGCACTGGGTGGGGAGGGTGTATTTGAGGGGTGGGCGCAGACATTCGCCGGGCGTGTGTCGGTCGACCATGATGCAGTCGCTATTTTGGAGGCAGAATGCCAGCGCAGCGCCTAGCCACTCCGGTTAGCCGAGGCATCGCACAAGATATTAAACAAGCCATACGGATGTCTTTGCAGGACTGCGGCATGGTGGCAGGTGGTCGCGTGTGGCTACCAGCGCATTCAACAATGCATGTGTGGAGTGATGCGGTGGAGCTAACATTTCACAGCCGTCGGCGAAACGTCGCGCTAACCTCCGGGGCTAGGATGCGTTGTCACATGTCAGGGATGGCTGCTTCCGTCTGGAACGTCATTCAGACTCTATCCTGCAAGACCTCACCGTAACTCAAGAGGGGCTGGAGCGCGAGCTGTGAACTTTCAGAGGCCCGCGCGTACAGAGGGGCGATGCGTTGTCGCGCTGCCATTTTGTCTCTGCTTTAATTGCTTCTGTGCCCTGCCCGTCTACACACGCCCGAGGGCACCTGGGCAGCATGGCGCTCCATATACCCTTCCTGTCGCGCCTCCACATCCGCGAGTACATCGCCCTGTTTCTCTCCATCTGCCTCATCGGCCTCGAGTCCTTCATTGCCGTCATCACGCTTGCCCTCCCTACGCCGATTATCAACTTCTGCTACCGCCTCACGCGCCGCCTGTTCAACCACCTCTCGTCGCCCTCGTCCAAGCGCTCGCGCCAGAAGAAGAAGGGCGTGTGGAGCTCCATCGCCAATGCCTCCGACTTTACCGAGCTCTGCGACCTCTACGGCTACTACTGCGAGGAACACATTGTGCAGACGGGCGATGGCTATCTCCTGGGTCTGCACCGGCTGGGCTGGCGACAGGGCGAGGAAAACGTGCGCGTCAACAGCGGAGACAGGGCCAAGGGCGTCAAGAAGAAGGTCGTCTACCTCCACCACGGTCTCATGATGAACAGCGAGGTCTGGGTCTGCTTGACCGACAAAGAGCGATGCTTGCCATTCGAGCTCGTCGAGCGCGGATACGACGTCTGGCTCGGCAACAACCGAGGGAACAAGTACTCCAAGAAGAGCGTCCACACGCCCCCTACCTCGAGCAGCTTCTGGAACTTCAGCATGGACCAGTTCGCCTTCCACGACATCCCTGACTCCATCGCCTACATCCTCGAGACTACGCACCAGCCCTCTCTGTCGTATATTGGCTTTTCGCAAGGAACCGCGCAGGCTTTCGCGACCTTGTCCATCCACCCCACACTGAACGAGAAAGTTGATGTCTTCATTGCGCTAGCCCCAGCCATGTCTCCCAAGGGTGTTGCGTCTGGCATTGTCGACGCCTTTGTCAAAGCCTCTCCGGATATTCTCTACTTGGCGTTCGGACGAAAGACCATTCTCCCGTCGGCAACCATGTGGCAATCCATCCTATATCCTCCCATCTTCGTCCGATTCATCGACACATCCCTGCGCTTCCTTTTCAACTGGTCCGCTGTCAACATCCTACCCGAGCAAAAGCTCGCAGCATACCCCCATCTTTACTCATACACGTCGACTAAGAGCGTGGTACACTGGTTCCAGATCATTCGGAATGGCACGTTCCAAATGTACGACGATGAAGCGCCGAATCCAATCACATCCAATCGATCCAAGTACTACAAGGTTGCCAAGTTCCCAACGAAGAACATCAAGACGCCCATCGTGCTTGTTTACGGCGGCTCGGACAGCTTAGTCGACATCAAGGTCATGCTCAAGGAGCTCCCAGCTCATACTATCGCCAAAGAAATCCCTCACTACGAGCACCTGGACTTCCTGTGGGCGGAATCGGTTCACACACTCGTCTTCCCGCACGTCTTTGAAGCGTTGGACAAATTCGCAGGCTCAGAAGCAGCAGCTCTAGAGAGTCAGAAGCAACGACGCTTACGATCGCCGGGCCGGTACCAAGGTCTCCTACCAGAGTCCAGCAAACTACCCGGGTTAGACGGCGACGAAGACGACGACGATGCGGGAGATGAGAGTGCGACAGCTCCGGTAGCGCTACGGACAAGAAAAGTTTCTCAACACTCGCGTGCGCCGAGCTCCATCGATGGCACGACAATAGCAGAAAGGCCATTGTCACTAGCCAGTCCCTTCCAAGCGTCTCAAACGCCACGACCTCCCACTCACCGAAGGACCCAAACCGAAGAGAAGCCCTCGCCTTCCCGCAACAGAATCATGTCACCACCACCCTCGCACAGGATATCAACCATATCCTCGCCACCCCCGTCAACAAACAGGATGTCAACCATATCCTTCAGCTCACCAGGTGCGTCAGTCGGCGACTCTCAAATGACAGAAAAAACCTCGACGTCTCGGCCCGAAGGATGGTGGTCCTCTGACGAAGTCGCTGGTACAGATCCGTCTCAAACTACCACACCCGCTAACCACACGCCCGCCAGGAGGTCCAGTTTCGACAGCCAGCAGAGCACGAAGAGTATGGCGGGCAAATTCGGAGCCAATGGTATCACTCTTGGGGCGGGCAAAGCCGTCAGCGGAGTCACCATCACACAAGGAGAAGGATTCGGCGAGGGGAGTGGGTCTCACAAGGATAAAAACGATCGGGAAAGATTACTGGAGGCGGATCGGAAACAGCGGAGGAACGTCTTGAAGAAGAGGCAGCCGTCTAGTGGTTGATCTGATCTGACGAAGTAACGATAGACTTTGCATAAGACTGTTACGATTATGTTGGTAGGCTGTAAATTGGAATCTAGCGTATCTTGTGGCTACTCCACGCCAGCACCATTGTCCTTTACAATATTTTACATGGTGTGACCATCTTCATACATGCGAGCAACGAAACAACGCATAAGACTGCCTGGAAGGATTCCATCTCACCACACCCTCCCCACATTCAGGCGCAATCCCGCTAGTATGATTGGTCACGGGACTCTGTTCCGCAATACGAGACGCATAGCCAAAACCTCATCTTGACTTCAATCTTACCTAAGCCCTGCATTCTCAATAAACGTATATTTGCGTAGCCTTCCTTAATCTACAGACTATGGTACCCGAGTCGTTGCTATCACCATCCATCACCATTCTCGCACTTCACCCGTGCCCGAGACTACCGACAACCATTTCTCCCCACGTTATATCGCCATAACAAGCATGGCGTGGATATGGCATGGCGCTATAGCCATGTATCAGACGCTAGCTCGCTTCTTGTCGTCTGGGCCCTCTGCTGGAAAGGTAAGGATGTTGTTGGCTTGTGGCATGTAGAATACTCATAGAAGATATTCAAGGAGAACTACGATCCCGCTTACAGAGCCTTTGTCTTCTACAAGACTATGTCGCCTAATGAGGTAAGTGATGTTGTGGCTCGCTGAGGAGTTAGCGAAACCCGCTGATCTAAAGTTGCGAACTTAGTCCGTGTCGAGTTTTGGAAGACCGTCTATGGAGAGTGTTGTGGATTGAAATTGGGAGTTTGTCGCGAAAGCTTTTGTCTTAATTGGGCATGCATCAAAACTTTGGGACCACACGGTGAGCTGGCTGCGAGGGAGGAATGGGGTTTCTATATATGCTACCCATGTTGGTGTATACTTCGTGAATTCGTTGACGCGTATTCAGATATCTATGTTCGCGGTAAAGCTGTTTGAACCTGCCATTACGCCACCAATCCATCCCCCTCCCCTCTCACTATTAGCCAGACGGCTGCCCGGAAGACCCTTGTTCATCCTGCTGCTCCGTGAGATCGCTCATTTGCATCTGTTGATGCATCTGTTGCTGCATTTGCTGTTGCATGAGTTGCTGCTGTGACATATTCATCTCAGAGGGATACAAGCCCAGGTTGCTCAAGGGCGCCGACTGCCACCACAGTTGCTGCATGTCGATAAGAGGGACGCCTTGATCAAAGCTTGTCATGAAGGGGTTTCCAAAAGCGAAAGACGTTGGTTGTTGAGCCGGCATAGGGTATGAAAGTAGCGGATCCATGAAGTGGGCCTCGGACAACGGTGGTGGGAAATTTGGTGGCAATTCTTGTGAGTAGCCAGCAGCACCTGTTGCATCCCATGAGGTTGACTGCGACGTGAACGTAGAAGGGCGGGCGGAGCGTGCAGGCTGTGCGGGTTGAGACGTCCACTCGGTATCGTCGGCAATTAGCTCCTTGACTTGCTCCCGAAGTGCCGGCGCGCATGTGTTGAGAATCTTGTAAACGACATCATGAGCCCGAGCAGCGACTGGGTCGTTGGCTTTCATGGCTCGAAGCCAGCGTATCATCTTCTTGATACAGCCCATGATGTCCTCTCTCTCATCCTTCAGGTGCTTCCCTTCGTAGGCCATTTCCAGTAGCAGCACGGCTAGTGATTGCATGACTGTTGTGAAGAACGTCAGTACTTGTCAGAATCTTTTTGTGCCATGATAGTCGTACCAAGATGAACCACGTCCCACCACGGTCCTTGTGAGTAGATGAAATGCGTGTCAGGCTTCTCGGGGAACAGCATCGTCATACTTCGAGCTGCGTCGACACATGTCTCCGCCGACTTACTGTTGAAGTTCATGGACTTCTCACTCTCCGTTGATATCCTTCGCTCGATCCGACAGAGACAAGGTCGGGTAATAAGGACCTTTGTACTCCAGTAGTAAATTCGGAGCAGAAAGCGTTCGCGATTAAGTTCAGGTCGTCGGTTCCAGTCACTTGGGCGGATATCCTCAGGTGGCAAGGCCTCCTTGACCCAGTCCTCCAATTCTTTGAGCAGCTCCGTGATCTTCGTCTGTACGTACTGTAGATATGACAGTCAGTAGAATGTCACGTACAAATTAAAGAATCGTTTTCCGGCAACTAAAAGATCGAAGTAAAAAGATGGAACACATACCTCCCAGGATTGGACTGCAGTCCGGGGTGAGTAGAGGCTGAAAAGAACCTTCTGAGAGATGATAGTCAATGTGACATACGTATGCAGATAGTGGCTTCCATCTGTATGCCGTTGGCCAGAGTCAGAGGCAGCACTACTTTTAGGAGTCCGAGATGTATTGTAGCTTGTTTTAATGCGAGACGGCTGTGGTGCTGCAGTTGCGTCTCGATCTGGAGATTCGGGTTCGGACTGTGGCAATGTTACAGTGCAATCCTCGTTTCCGATGACCGGAGGCCGACCAGTGATGGATGAAACGAGGCACTCGATTGAGTGCAAACACCACCAAGTCTTCACTAACGGCTCTCTCTTAGAGTCATTCATCGAATCGTCCTCGTTGCGCAAGTGTAGACCAAGTGCCAAGGCAAGTCTGACGGAGAGCCCGCTCATGATCCATGCTCTACTCACGTGCCCAATGACAAGGAAGTAAAATGCTAACGTTCCCGTCTAGTGTTCAAAGTGTTAGGTATATTCAGGACAAATGAGTGGAGATAGTCACTTACTGCTTGGACCCTGCCCAGACTGGGTGCTGCGAGGAACGATATGGTATCTCTCAGTCCCAAGAGTTGAACAGCTCGTGTCATATATACAAGGTGGTCTCTCTCATCGCCTCGCCACTCGGCACTAATGAGATGAGAGTACTTAGCGCCGATGGCGAAAAGCAGATTCATGGTGGCACGCCAAGGGGGAGGGATTGAGTACGGACGTCCGAATCTGAGAGATTGAATGTAGCGCCGGAATTGGTCCTCGAAGTTAGTAGGCATGAGTGGGAATGTACCGTGTACAGTTCCCATGTAGCAATCAAAGAGCTTCTCAGCAATATCCGGGCCAGGCATCTCGTCCGGGTCTACAGCGATGTCGACCTCAATGTCGTCGCCATCCAGGTAAAAAGTCGCATCCGTGATGTGTTGCATTGAGCCTGGTCTAGCGTTCTGTCTTCGTTCATGCAAAGCTTCGGATCGTTCGTCAATAGCCGCCGAGCTTGCGCCAGGAGGGCCGTATCGCTGCCCATGAGGATCTGAGTTGCCACGCTCTGCTTGACGCTGAACGCTTCGTAACCATTGGACCTCTGAGTTTTGGCCCATGTAGCCGGTCTCTCTCGACTCGCGGGTGCGCATCAAATCTTCGTCAAGGAAGTCGAGGTCCTCGTTGGATCCGACCGATGCAGTTACAAGAGCCTCTCCGTGATTGCCTTCATCGCCGTCCCCTGTCTCTGTTCTCGTCGTAGGTTGCTCGCGTGGCCTTTTCCCCAGAGTCCTGACAGATTGCAGAGAATCCAGGGAAACGAGATCATCTTCTACCTGCAAGACAGGCAAGGTTAGCAATGATCTTGTAACAGTCTCAGGAAAAGAAATCATCGGCGGAATACATACATCGTGTAACGTCTGTTTGATGGCCTTCTTATCTGACTCATCGACGCGGTCCTCGAGTTCTTTGAGAAGGTTGATGAGGTTCTTGTTTAACCTCATAGCCCTATAAAGTCAGTCTATAAGTCGAATATCGGGGGGTTTATCTGAGCATACTCTCCAAGACGATCTCGGCGTGCTGGATCGTACACGCAAACTAAGTTGTTGCGTTCACAGTTGGCGCAACGCGGATGATCACCGGAACACCTGACTTCTGGAGCGGGAATATCAGCATGAACAACTACGAGCGGAGGAATGCGGCTGTTTACTTCGTTTGCGGCACGTTTTGCATGCCCTTGCACTAATTAAAGAAGCGGGTTAGTTCGTAATGTGTTAGTGTAGGGCTAGAGTCACTGACACTCTTTCCTCTTTCTCGTATCTCTCTGGATTCTCGTTACCCTGATGGGGCGGCGGCGGCGCCTTTGAGATCGCGATCTTCCTACCCTGTCCATCACTGGACTGCCCAAGCGGAACTCGCTGCATAGCACAGATCGACGGTGATTGGAAATCAGTACAGGATCGCACTGCCAGTACAGATGCAGCTCGCGCATGAATTTGCTTCCAGGGAAGCGAATTGAGTCACGTGTTGGGTTACGGGCAAGGTTTCCGTAGGCCTGGTCGTTCTGGGAGGAGTGAGGGGAAAACGGGGTCTGCCAGGACGGCCTGAGGCGCGAAGGAGGGTGGTGACCCACGGTAAAGGAAGAGGTACGGGGTTGTGTGGCTTGATGTCACAAATCAAGGCGATAGGAAGGCACGCATATGCGAATTGTAACGAATAGTTGTCTGATGGTCGTGATAGTGGTGGTGCTGGGGAGGAACGCGCCCTTCAGAGGGTTGATAGGCGGTTGTTCACCCACCAATCATGGCCCTCTATGTTAGTCCACTGTCCGAAAAAAGTGTTGTGTTGTGGCTTCAAGTTGAGTGGATATAGTCGGATGCGTTTAGCAGTGGCCCATGATACCTACAGGCCTGCGGCAAATCTTGAACAGGTTTCGCCTCGTCGGGATCGGGATCGAAGGCAGGGCGGCGACTCCCCGCGGAAGTTGCCTGCCAGACCGCATGGCATCCCCAGCTGTCAAGTCCTTGCAGCACGGAAAGAACAAGAAGTAAGAAAATCTATAGCATACACGAGGCTAGAGGAGAATGGCGAACGCCTTTGGGTCGTCGTGCTATTTGAACACACCTAGGAAGCCAACACGCCGTTGAGCCGTACGCGCGATGCAGGTCGCGAACGTCATTCCTAGCAGGGGAGGGGCTCCTACCTCGCTTCTATGCTGTTGAGTGTTCAGATAAACCACTTGCACACATTGAGGCAGCAATGTAAATAGCGGATACTCACATACTTTTGGTTGATGCTGTGTCTCCAGCGATGGCTCCTCATATCTTTTGGTTAGCTCCCAGGCGTCACTTATCGTAACACGAGCGGATTGATCTTCTACGTGGATGCAAAGTAACGGATGTGTACGGTTGTGTTTCCGCGAACATGCTAAACCCGCCAGCCCATAGTCGTACAGAGCAGCACGTGTTTCGTCCCGAGGCAACTCCGTCTTCACGAGTTTGGGAGATGCATCTGATCCGCACACACTGCAGCATTTTACTCACAAGTTTACTCTGAAAACAATTGTCTGACATAATTTGACTGCTGGCGCTGACAAGGGACATCGGGTTCGGCCCAAGGGTCCTGGGGAATTGTGGAATGTGGGTCGCGCTATTCTGAGCCTGGAAGCTTCTGCTAGCTTGCTGTTTTCCGTTAGCATGTTATGGAACTTCCCGATATCGCATCCCCCTGTGGCAACTTCAGGCAGCGTCGTCAGTACATACATTATTTATCCTCTTTTCAGTTGAAACTTCTCTTAGTGTTCTGAATGCCTGCAAGAACCAACGCATGTGAAACCTGCCGCAAGAAACGCATCAAATGCGATGCGACAGTTCCCAAATGTCTCATGTGCATTCGCACCGGTCACGACTGCCCCGGACTATCGGATGGTCCCATCTTCGTAGACATGACGAACATCGCTAAACACGGAATGAGAAAGCGCAAGTCAAGACTAACAAGCAAGAGCGCGGAAACGTCTACGCTGGCTGACCAAGTGTTGTCGTATCAGATTTCGCAAAGAGCAGTGGTAACCGAAGCATTTTATGCTCACTTTATGGCTCACTTCACGTCCGAGGGCGAGAGCAAAGACATTCGGAATCAACGTACCTGGCTGCACAGCCTGCCTGTTCTGATAACAGATGGCACGAATGACGCACTGACACTGGCTGCACAGGCTACGGCATCTGCCTACTGCGCTGTCGAAAGCGGGAATATGGCACTTACACAATACTCGTGGAAGATGTACGGAGAAGCTCTACGGGCGCACAGTCGATTTGTCTCCCGTCCACATACCAAGCAAGAAGTCACGGTACATATGGTGTCTACGAGCGTTCTGTTCAGTTTATTTGAAGCTATGCAATCTACCAACGCCGCAGCCTATTGTTCTCACGTTTTCGGAGCTGTTCGGATGCTTGAATTGACTACACCAAAACAATGCTCACAAGGGGCGTTGTGTCAGATCTTCTGTAAGTTTCCTCATGCGATAAAGCCTAGCTGTATTTGCTGTGGTCGTCATTGTATTGTTCGTGGAGGAGAAGATGATGTACCCTTTCAGACTGTATCCCACACCCTGTCTGAAACTCAAGAGGGCAGTCTCTTTCGTACGGGAGAAACACGTAACGCGCGCTAACACTGTACTTCTTTTGCAGATCATCTCCGGACTCAATTGACATTCATCAATCTGACCGGAAATAGCAAAAGGATACCTTTCCAAATACAAGGCATTTTGTACGGGCCATTGAAATACGTTGAGTTACCTCGGTTTCAGACGCTTATGGGCTATGTATCCGACCTGGTGGACGTCTATGTCGCGCGGAAGACCGGCGCATCGCGACCAGAATTTGGCCTCGATGCTTACACCGTGCTTGGGAGCAATATTGAGGCGCTTTGGCTTGACTATATGAACGATGCAGTGGATACGGATAAGTTGCTGTTCTGGGAGGACACTTCGACCGAAACTCGGCACTTTCGCGACGCCTTCACTGCTCTCGTCGTGGCATACTTCAGCGTTGCTCGCATCCTTCTCAGCCTCATTACGCCACGACTTCCAGATGGCTTTCCGACCCTATCCGATGATTACACATCTATACTGCTGGCCTCGCAGTACTTGCAGACTCATACAGTTGGGTGCGCATACATGCGCATGGCCACGCCTCTGCTGCTAGTTGCACTGCATTCCCCTGAACCTAGCCAGCGCAATCAAGCTATCGCTTACTTCGAAGGTTGGACGCAAAGGTCCATGTCGGGCGTTAGCACACTTGCACTAGAGACGATACGTCGAAACCACGTCTATGAGCGTGACCGGACGCGCGAACAGTGGCAAGAGTCAGCGTTAACCAATACCTAGATGCAGCTCTTCAGCCACAAGTACCAGTGATCACGATGCGAGAGATGTGTTGTCGTCGGACAAAAGCACCAAGCCGCTACCCGAACTGCCGGAATAAACCCGTCAGCGCTAAATACGGCTAGCTCGTGGATACCCCTCTCGCGATCCCCTTAGTAAACCCCGATTCTCGACACGAATTCCTCTTTTCGAAGCGCATGGGCCAAGCCCCTCAGCTGTGTACATGCAACGATGTACAGCGAAGAACCCGATCTCGAGACGAACTCTTCCAGCACGAAACCCACACTTTGCTCGAACTTGCTTATTCGCGACACCGATCAATGCCAGTATATGGCATGATTTGCAATATGCGAGGCAGGAGGCAGGGTCTAGAAGAGACGATGCGGCTTTGATAATCAATAGATCGGGTACCGTCGCCGTGTGTAGAGACACGGAAGGAAGAGCGAGCACGTCGCTATTTGGCTGTAATTTGTTCGAGCGTGCGGCAGTTGGCTCACCTTCGCCTCGGATTATGGTCAGGAGGAGAACAAAATCGGGGGGAAATTGATTTGAGCAGACTTCCAGTCGGATTCGCTTTTCTTGACTCAAACTCCAGTGCCAAGGCTGCGCGTTGGTTGTCAGGCGAACTTCACAGGCTACTATAGAGGCTTGTAGACAGCAGCTTACATCCATGATGATGTTTTGTTTCCATTGTGCATCCAGTGGGCAGGTGCCGTACGCCCCATTTTGACAAGTCGATCACGTTGCTGCTACCAGAGAAGCTGCCCCAGCCCTCGTATCAATCGTTGAAATGAGTATATGAGAGCAAGTGGGTATCATCAAGGAGTCGTTCAAATCTACTATAGCTCTCTACCAATACCCAAAAGGTTGAGAATCAAGCTTTCTTCTTGCTGCTTTGTCCAAGGTCAAGATGTAGTAAAAGCGCCTTTTCAACCAGACTGGCAAACTCGCGGTACATTACACTGCACAAAACACAGATTGGAGTAGAGTTACGGACTTCAGGAAATAAAGACAGAAGAATCATAGCTGACTAGTCCTACGAACACGTTCCCAGTCCAGTCGCCATAATCGCACACATGAAAATCGTGAATTGACACAAAACAAGCGCACCCTCCTCTTGCGTAAAAGACTCATACAGTTCCATAGTACACTTCCTTCATCGACTTGCATAATGCTTGTGCTGATACCCATATTAAGCCTTCTGCATACCTTCGACAAACTCAAGCGCCGCTTCTCTATCAACAACATCGATGCTACTCGTCTTGTTCGTGTAGGTAACACCATAGCATCGATCCGCCACGTGTACCATCTCAGGCCTGAAAGTGGTGCAGATGAACTGACCACCTCCATCCGCGTTCTTTCCACCATGACCACTCAATCGCTCCAGCATCTGCGCAACAGCAGTTCGATACTGCGCGTCGAGATTGGCATCGATTTCGTCAAAGAGGTAGAAGGGCGCGGGATCGCACTTTTGGATAGCAAAGATGAGGGCGAGCGCGCAGAGCGACTTTTGGCCTCCAGAGAGCTGACCGATCTTTTGCTGCTCGTCGTGCTTGCTGTTGAAGGATACAGCGATGCTCACACCTGTGTACTCTTCGACCTTGCTCTTCTTCCCCTGGGTCT